AACACACAGTGCAAAACTAGAGCCACACAAAATGACAACAGGTGTTAAAGGTGCAGATGGGAACAAGGTAAAGGCAGATACTGGTAGTACTGGAACAGATACTGGTGCCAAGTACAGCAACAAGACTGTGTGATTTCCAGCTGTGGTATTTGTGCAGTTAACGAGAGCTGCTGTTTATACATGATGGAAATTATGAGCAACTTCCAACTCAGAAACTAAAAACCAAATGTTTCCTGAATATCTGGTTCACAGTCGCATTTGCTGCATCTTAAGCTTTGTGGGTCTGGTCAGTGAAAACCAAGTGAGGACTCCTCAGTCACAAGGCTGAACATTAATATACTGGCTGCTGGACTTCTCTGACCATCAGGTGCGTGAAACGAGCAGCAGCCTCCCTCAGAGAAGAGAGCTGCTGTACCAGAGTCAAATTCCTGGTGTGTCCAACACATCTGGCCAATAAAGCAGATTCTGTTCTGATCTGATCTGATCAGGGACAAGCACGGAAACTAAATCTCACAAACTGAACCCCCCCAGTCTACAGTAAACACAGAGAATAAGGAGAGGAGGTTTTGGTTGGTTTGTAATGAAATCTCAGCCCAGTTTTCATGTTGTAGGAGGAGGAGTCACGTGACTCTGGACAAACAACATTACTCCCATCACATCTTTACAGTCCAGTGGTGGGAGACGTAGTCTGGACCTTCGCTTAAATACACGTTTTACCACCTTCATGTAAAAATACTGCGTAACTGAACCCAAAGTGTTCTGCTGTACCTTTGGCAGAGATAATCGTTCTGCAGCCGAAAGTTTTGTCACATCGTCGTAAGCAGCTCTCAGCCGGTTCACAGCGATTACCGCAAAACAGAACAACTTGCGCACTCGGAAAACAAGTGCTGCTGACTTTTCCAAGCAAAAGCTAAAGGCGGCTCACTTGACGGCGGTGTAATTTTCAAGAAGGCTGAATACACGCAGATGAGTAATAATACCACTATATTTCTTAGGCCTATTAGTATACACTCAGACATTAAACGGTAATCTAGGTGTTCCAGGAACTTTACCTTACCGTAATTGCAAGAAAAGACGCGAAACACAAACGGCTTGTTTGTCTGGGGTTTTGCAATCGACAGCTCAACTAGACCACTGTTAGGTAATTTCTTAGTCAGATAGATATTTAGAGATTTGTTGTCTAGAAATGTTTAGTGTAGCCAGGATGTCTAGCTCAGGCTGTTAAATGTTTAGTCAGTGTCATGAGGTGCGGCTTGGCGAGCACGCACGGTGCCAGTGGGGGGGAATACAGCACACCGTGTGAACAGCGGCTTTGCTGAGGCTCTGAGTCTCTCGTCTCCCTACACCGTCAGTGCGTTTCGGTGTGTGCTGGCATATCAGGTGACGTCACCGTTTGACGTGCCTGTGTAGAATGGGGTTAGCCCAAACCAGATATATTGTATAGGTTTTTGGGTTCAGGATCTTGCATCCTCCAGGCTGCCTGCGCGCAGGTTTGGTGGTGGGAGAGATCTGGACGTGTAATGTTAATTTTGCCTGTGATCCTCTGAATAAACCAGCACGGTTATTTTTTATATAATCCAAGTGGTCTACTTCGTCTTTGTGAGTTCCTGGTTTGAAAGAGCCGGAAGAGGCTAAATAACAGAAATAGAGCCTATACCACCGTTAACCTTAACGTGTCCCGTTTCTTCGTGTCTTTGCTCCTCTGACGACGGGGATTCACCCCGTCTTCCTTTTTCTTGTGCTAAAGTGTGTTTGTCCATTCAACAAACCGTATCTCTTAAACTCACGACAGTGCTTCCTCGTGTTTCTAACGTTACATAGTTTAGTCTTCCAACCATTTCCAGGTCCATATTGCTACTTCCACTTGAAAACGAGAAATTTAACTAATTGTGTGACCATTCCAGCCTACTGTAAAAAAAAAACATTGCGGCCTCTATGATGGAGGACCCGCTCACATTAAGCTCTAAAAGACCCATTTTAAGCTAAAGAAAACACAGCGATTCTTGTTTTCTGGTGGTTACTGTAAGATTTGAATCTTATAAGCTCTAGTTACTTTATAAGCTTTAGTTACCTTTCATAATTTTAGTTCCCTTTAGTTACCTTTCATAACTTTATTTTCCTTGTTTATACATATTACAGCTGTATTGATAATTGTCCAGAACTACTGAGCTTTATTTTTAATACATTTATTTTCCTTGCTTATATATCTTACAGTTGTATTTGCTGTGTATCAATAGTATTCCTTCAATTTATACTAAACACAACGAGATCAATCGGAGCAGAATGTGCCGTTCAGTACTGATTTATTCTGGCCTTAATATATTTTTTCATCCGGGTCACAACACAGTACCCAACTACCCCAATAGATGTCAGTATAACCCACATGCTCAATACATGACAGTATTGATGATAATGAAGTAGAATCTGCTTACTTTTGTTAGAAAATAACCAAATTCTTTTGTTGGAAGCACGAGAAGTGAGGACAGGAGAGGATTGTTTAAAATCAACAGAAAGTTTACTGAAAGTCTGATCACAGGAAAGTCTTTACAGCGCTGGATTCAGAGAGACAGAGCTCCCGCAGGAAAACCGGCTTCTGAATCCCGAGTTATGTTTTTACATTACATTTATACTTGTAAGATTTGAGTCTTATAGACTCTAGTTACTTTATAAGCTTTAGTTACTTCTCATAGCTTTAGTTCCCTTTAGTTACCTTTCATAACTTTATCTTACTTGTTTATACATGTTACAGCTGTATTGATTAGTGTGCAGAACTACTGAGCTTTGGTTACTCTCTAATACATTTATTTTCCTTGCTTATATGTCTTACAATTGTAATGAGGTAGAATCTGCTTACTTTCTGCAACTTCTGAATGTCTGCATCCCCCAGACAACCAGACGGCCTATTTACATTTTAACAAAGCCCCGGTAGCCCACACCTGGACACACATAGCATATCCCAAGTTCTGCCTCATCAGGGGGTGTCTTAGACCACGTTCACACTGCAGGCTGAAGTGACTCAAATCCGATCTTTTTGCCCAAATGCGACCCATATCCAATTTCCTTATGACAGTGTGAACAGCACAAATCCGATTTTTTCAAATCTGACCCAGGCCACTTTCATATGTGGTCCTAAATCGAATACGTATCTGATGTTTTGCAATGCGACTTCAATCTGAACGGCCGTGTCGCATTTTATGTGATAGATATGTAACTACATAAACATAAACACAACTGTGAGATTAAAGTATATAGACTTATGTATGCTATATAATAAAAACCCTAACTAATTATATTCATTTCTATCTAAAAATGAAAATCACCCTAAAAATCTCCTTTCAGTGTGTCAGTCTACACACCATCCCACCTGCAGACACTTTAACAGATTTCTGCTTTACCACATCCACTCCTGAAGTGGTGTGTTAATCTGGCAGACTCTATTGTCATATATTTAACAGATCTGTCTGGGCTCCATTAGAAAACAAATTAAAAGTGTGAGTCTGTGTGTGTCTCATTAACATGTTTTCATGTGTTCAGTATAATTATAGGTTCTATTACTGAAATGGATCAGGATCTTAAATGGTGTTAAAGAGGACTTAATAAAAACGGGTTTATATGTGTGGAGCTGATTCATATAAACAGAAAGTGATGTAAATTGTCCATATGTGATGAATAATGTACAAAGCATATGTCCAGCAGCAGCATCATGAATGAGGATAAAAGAATATTTCTGCTCATAAATGCTAATCACACATAACTCATTAACATGTGGAGGAGCAACAGGTCTGAGCCGCTGCCAACATGTCTTAAACCACCACCCAGGTCACGCTACTGCACTTTTAAATTCAGCTTGGTTATCACATGTGACGACAACATATGCAAGAGCACATGTAGATGAGGCCCTAACTTCTGGACCACTTAATGATTCGCTTTCTTTTAAAGTCACACACTGTACACTTTGGAATTCATATGATGTAAAGGCAGATGTTCAGAGGAGAACATAGGCCTGACCTTGAGAAAACCACATGTGTCACAGGGGATTTACTGTGTTTGTGCAGCTTCAGGATCAGCTCAGACAAGGCTCCACTTCATATAAATATCAAACAGCGGCTAATGTGAAAGACAGAAAACCTGACTTCTAAGCCAGTAGAGTCACTCAGTCAGCTCCACGCCCTGTTTTCAAACCTCCAAACACTCAGCGACTTCCTGTACAAACAAACAGCAGATGGGCAATGTGTCACCACTTCCTGCCACTATGCAAAAGTGAAGCCAAAATATCATGAATACAAAGGTGGCCATCTTGCTTTTGTGATGCATTTTGCAACCAGATTTTATGCGGTAGAGACCAGAGGAGGCACCATGGTATCAAAGCTGTCAGTCATCTGAAATACACTCCTTTTTAAATCACCAAATAATTTACACTCTTCTTTTACTGTCAGCATCCAGTAGGAACAACCCCTCATTTCCCTCAGTGATCTGATTGGCTGGTGTTTGGGCTGCTAACAGGTTTTGAGCTGACCCTCTGAAAATCTGCTCCAGGACAGATTAGCTTCGCAGCGTAAGTTACCGCGGTGATCTAGCCTGACTAATGGTCAACCAACCAGAAAACCTGAGCTGAGCGCACAGTTAGCTGGATAAGCCTGAGTGTGTGGTACAGGTCCCTGGGAGAAAAAGAAGAAAGGTATTTGTGTCAGACATTCAAGCTTAATGAGCTGGATTAACCAAAAACTCAAATTCAAGTGTGTGTAATAGATTTATTATTTGAACACAGAAGAGAGACGTGATCTGAGATCTGCAGGTAGAGACAGGAAGAGAAGAAGAAAGCTAATGAGATGGAGGAAAGAACGGGCGGGTTTCTGCATCGCTACTGCCCATCAGCCAATCAGAGAGCGGTGACAGAGAGACAAAGAGATGGATGGGGGTGGGGTGGGGGTGGGATGTTGGGTCTTTTTATAGATGAGAAGAAAAAGTTTGTGTTGAGCTCAGACCGAGGAGGAGGAGGAGCAGCACCAACAGGAGGACGCACAGAAAAAAAGATGAAACTGTGACCCAGAGGAGGAACGAGCAGCAGAAACAGAAACACGAGGAGCAGGATAGACAGACTAACGTGAGCTTCTGGGCTGAGTAAATAAAACGAGACCAGAACCCAGAACCAGAAGGCACGGAAATGTTACTGTGACAGTTAAACTGAAGGAGAAGCTGAGGATGTCGGCCCTCCTAAACTGTAAGTGTGAATCTTTGCAATGTGTGTGAACTCATCTGCTGTGACTGGTTCTTTATTTAAACACAAGTCCTGACCAGTTATTACACGGTGTCAGTATTACTGATCTAGAATGGGCCCGTTTCAGTGTTTTAACATTATAAACATTACAGCATAGTACTGGACTATTATCACAGATACAGTAACATGCAAAGGATGGAGATGTGGAAGGTTCTGTGTCTGATTTACAAAATCATAATCTGAACCATTACTGCACCTGTCAGCTGAATGTGTATAAAATATCATAAAATGAAAATACTCAAGTACAAGTACCTCAAGATTCTACTTGAGTACAGTACCTCAGTAAATGTACTAAATTACTTTGAACCACTGCAAATCTGTATTGTATGTTTAGATTTTACTGCAGGAACACAACAAAGACAAAAACCTTTTACCACAAAGAAAAAGAAACCACATAAAATCAGTCATACATAGGAATTAAGGTGTTAACGAAAGCAAGACAAAAGAATAATTTGATTTATTTTAATTACAAAAATACTGTAATTAAAATGTTAAATTAGACCTGGAAACATTTGCCTGTTTAATGATAAACTGTGTTGTATTCAAGCTATTTCTGTCATTTCCTAAAATTCACATTAAAATGTTCCATATTTTACTGACTGAGTTTGAAGTGGTAAGTCCGGTCTGCTGTGTTGGTGTGGGTCTGTTTCTAAAGTCACTTCAAGTGGCTTGATACACAGCATTGCACATGTGGGACCAGACGCTTGTTTAATTGAAACCCAAGTGTTTTATTGTTAATTGAGTTTAATGGATCACGACTCCATTTCCATAAACATGAAACCACTGCTCACCATTTTTAATAAATTCTTCACTTTGCATGAGCTGCTGTTGTGTTTCACATTCAGTTGGACATGCACTTGGTAGGAAGTGAATACTGTGACCATTGCTGAGTCCCGGTGTGTTCAGCTTGTTGCTTGTGTTTGATCAGGAAGCTTCAGGTTAAAACTGGCTCAGTTCAACTGATCCATGGATGTGTGTGCAGGTTTCACGAGTCAGACTCCTGTATGAGAGAACTTTCAGATTAAGATGAAATATTCCTGCCAGGTCTTTCCACCACTGACGTTGGCCCCTGACACCCACTGAGCAACAGTTTACCCTCCCAGAACTCCTAGTATCTTACAGAGACTGTCTGCCCCGACCATCCTAAATTATATGAATCAAAAATCAACTCAAGAGCTATTCATCAGAACCTAATTAAAATGAAGACTAGTCCTCTTACAGAACAAAATAACAGGACAACAAAATGTGGACTATTAAATGTCGAATCTCTCTCGTCCAAATCTCTGTTAGTGAATGATTTGACAAGATCAAAAATTTTTATTGTCAATTCACTACATGTGCAGGACACACAGAAAATCAAAATACTGTTTCTCTCTCAGCTAGTATTAAATGCCCATACCTTTTAGGAAACTAAATTAATTTGGATAAAACTAAACGGTAACTAAATCAGTGACAGTGGTGCAAATAATGACCAGAAGATTGTCAGGTGGTCAGCATCACCAGGAGTGTTGGTGATGAGATGCATAATAGTTATGAGATGCACATGGACAGTAGTGCAAATGACCAACAGCAGCAGCTATGATGGTAAAAGACAGTCAGCAGCAGATTGACATATAACAAAAAGTTATATATAAGTAAACATCACATTGACTTATTGTGTCTGACTGAAACCTGGTCACAGCAGGAAGAACATGTCAGTCTAAATGACTCCGTTATATTTATATATGAACCCAGATGAATCAGGCCAGTGGGTCAAACCTCAGGCATGTCTTAAACACATGGATGTCCTGTGATTTCTTACCTCTAAACTCTGACAAAACTTTCCTTTTTGATAAGGCATATAGATAGGTTGATATATTACTGTTGTTCTATCATTAATTATTATTGGTGTTGGTGACAACATAGTCGCCTCACTGTGGTTATTAGCAGTGTAGTCTTCGTTAGTTAGATAATCATGGTAAAGTGTCAGGGGTTGGACAGCCGAGTGGACCCGACTCTCAGAGGTGACCACCACTACAAACCAGCTGGACCAGCCACTGCTTAACCTGAACAAACACAAAGCAGACACTGTGTGTCAAGCCACATATCTGCTCTTTGCTGGCTGAGGACAGGGTTCAGGATGCTTCATGTTAAAGGCAGGTTAGGTCTGGAAAGTGTGTTTCCTATTGAGGGGCTCTGAAGGTTTATGACGGCCTGGCCCGACACCCCCCTCTCTGGGGCCAAATCATGGGTAAACATAATTTAAACCATATACCAAGTTTCCATAGCAATGCTCTGCCAGTCTTGGGCACATTTGTGTATTATTGACTGACTGGAATAGTACTGGATCGCTGTATAGTGTTATGTAAATGGTGTGTATAGTAGACGCATATAATACTTAATATTTTAGAGTGTAGTGCTTAGTGTTGTATGTACTGTGTATACAGATATATGTATTATATGTGTATGTATTATATATGTATGTACTGTACACAGTCACAGGAACAAGCAACAGCACTGTGTGAAACCGCTGCCAGTGTATGACAAATGTGGCTGGTGAAGAGCACATACTTAATGTCTGTAATGCTTCCTGGGCACAGAGAAGCAGTGACTAAGCTGTAGAACAACAACCATCCTGTGAATATCACGTGTAACAAGGAAAGAGAGCATCCTTCTGCCAACAACACGCGAGTCCAACCACAGTAAACCAAAACTCCACCTCACAAAACTTCCACATTTCAGCTTCAGTTCCTGCCAAATTGTGTCCGTGTAATGCACCAACCCCTTCAGACTCTGTCCTTTCCTTCCGAGTGGCATGCTCTGGTTAACTCGTACAAACCACAGAGGTAAACGTCTTCAGGTCAGTTGCTATGGTTTCTGGACTCAGGGAGACTTAACATGACTGCCTCCTCTTTTCTCTGGGTGTCCTGAAAACATGAGGTCTGTTATTTTAGAGATGACGGGAGTGAAGCTCCTCCACAGGACGTGACTCATGACAGTCCTGTTCATTGAGCAGTCACTCGTCATCACCTCACACATACACACACACACACACACACAGCTGTAGAGTCTCAGAAGCTGATGCTGCTGAACTCCATTGTGGGAATCTATTTGTTAGAGCCGCTGTTTATTCTCTCCATCACACCTGTGCCATAAACCCATACTGAAATGTCAGCACACCTGTCACACAGGTGTGTTGCCACGACAACTGTTGCATGTGAACACGCATTTGTTCATACACCGCTGATTTTAAATGTAAACCCAGCGTTTTCATATCAGATCATTTAATCACAAACATTTGTGAAGCTTTTCAGGAAACACTGACAGTATGTTACGTCTCACTGACGTGGGGTCTGCGAGTGCATCCATACATGTAAGTCTGCACAGACCACGTGTGTGAAGAAGTACATTAACTTCATATCTTGAAAAACGTGAAATAAACATAGTTTTGTTTACATTTTTTTTGCTCAATTTATATTTGTAATTTCTGTATTTGTGTAATATATTAGAACATGCTGAGGAGGATCAGACCTGGAACAACACACAAAGCAGAAAAAGCCAAATCTGATCCATTTCACACAAAACTCTAAAAATGGATGGGACAGAATTACTGACACCTTTTCAGATTCAGCAGAAATGGTTGTATTTCCAGCCTGTGAGTGAATCTCACCTGTAGCGATCAACAGGTGCTGGCAACATGGAAATCACACTGGCAACCAGTTAAAATGGAGAAAAGTCAACTCAAGCTTTGTGTGGTGTGGACCACACTGAGCACGGAGAAAAGAAATAAGAGCAGAGAATTGGCTGAGGATTTGAGAACCACATAGTGGAACAGCCTGGACAGTCTCAAGGCTCCAAGTCCATCTCCAGAGATCTGGCTGTTCCTGTGTCCACTGTGCCGACATTGCCAGGATATTTAAAGCCCATAGCACTGTAGCTAATCTCCCTGGACGTGGGCGAAGGAGCAGAACAGATGACAGATTGTAAGGAATGATTGTTGGAATGGAGGATAAAGAACCTTGATCATCTTCCAGACAAATCCAAGCTGACCTGCAGACACGTAGTTCAACAGTGTCAGCTCACACTATCCGTCACCATCTGAGTGACAAGGGACACTATGGTAGGAGACCCAGGGGACCCACGGCTGACACAGAGACATAAACCCAAGCTGGAGTTTGCCAACACTGACCCGAGGAAGCCACAGCCCTTCTGGGAGAATGTCCTGTGGACAAATGAGACTAAGACAGAGCCTTTTGGTTGAGCACATCATTCGTCATCATCTGTTTTCAGAAAACACAACCAGACTCCTCCTAAATGTTTGTTTGAGTGAGTCTGCCTGATATTTAGCATTACACTTGTAATTTTTCCTAACCTTAACCAGTGACTGGGAAGGACTTTCTGACCTGAGGTTTTCACAGCCTCTCATCCATCTGCTGTTATGTGACAGCAGCTCTGACCCTGCGCTGTTTGTTAGAGAAGCGTCCTGCTGTGGCGGGTTGGGTCAAGTCGTTGCATCGATCTGTTAACAGGGAAACCCTCCCATGTTTCTCTGCAGCCACACTGTGACTGTTAACAATCACTTAGTTTTGCTTTGCACTGCCTCATATAACCTCGATTTTTCCCTGCCTTGGCCGAAAAACGTCCAGAATAACCAGACATGGATGCAGTTGATTTGTGATTTATAAAAACAAATGCTTGTCTTCTACATATGGTTTTTGTTTGTCATTTTGCCTTTAGTTTTCAAAGTGGCAACAAAAATGCTTTGTACTTTTGTATATAGTTCACACAGATCCACTTGATGGAAGAATTTTCTCTGGTATTAAGGCTGAATATGACTCTAGGCCCTTTACATGCATGTTGCCTTCAGAGTGTTTAAGTGTGCCAGACTGTTTTACTGTTGTGTAATGTTGAGGGCCACATCCAGTGTCCCCAGCCCAGAAGTCTAGTCTGTTTTGACCTACAGCCCTGCCCTTCAGTAAACAGCACGGCTGAATTCACTTGTGTAGACAACACTGCTTCTTTCAGGTCTAAAAAGCCTAGGACACCTTCTCCGTCTCTTCCTGACGCCAGTGTGAAGCAGAACACAGCAAAGCCTTCTGCTCAGCTTAAGGCTGACGTGCAAAGTTTGCTCTGATCATATGGCTAAAAATAAACTCCAGACGCCTCTTCAGTATTGTTAGTCACACCACACACTTTGTCACTTTTCACTAAGTCTTTAAAATGTACACATTTCAGACTGTTAGAAACAAAGTTACCCTCCCTCTCTGAGTCCTCTGACATAGCCCACCCTGCCCTCTGGCAGTGCTGAAGTCTGTCAGATATCAGCACTGGAATGAAACCCTCCTCCCGTTCACTGGGAACTCTTCATTCATTCTCTCTGTCACCGCCACTTTCAACTATTCTCATCATCTGCTCGAGCACCTGAGTATTTCAAATTGGCTCCACTTCTCACACAGCCATCACTTGACTCATCCATTTTAAATAACCTCTGCCTAATATCTAAACTTCTCTTCTTGGCCACGGTCTTGGCGAAACAGCTGTTGAGCTTCACCAGCTGATCACATGACTGGTGACAGGCTCTTTAGCAGGTCTCAGTCAGATTTTAGGGCACCTATATTATTTTCTATTATATGTTACACCAAAATCAAATCTTTCAGAAGCACAGCTCTTTTTTTTTGTTTTTTGTGGATGGCTCCCAAATCTATTTTCTCATTTGAGTCCACAACAATTTCAGGCAAAATACACTCCTGTCTTCCAGACATTTGTATTTCACAAACAACACGTTTCAGTCACAAAGAACTTCACCTTCATTAAATCCTGGTTAGACTGCTGTGACTGGCCATATTCCTGTCTCAGTCACAGGACGACAACAAATCTGACCCGTCGCCTTAATGATCTGGACAGTTAATGGAGTGAACTGTTAATGTAGGTTATTAAATGGGGCTGTGCTTGTATTTGACAGTAGTTTGTGTATATCGATGTGTGTTTGTAGTGGTGTTCATCCTCGCCTCTGGGTGCCATGGTAACTATGAAACAGTTGGAGAGCAGCATCACAGGATGAGAGCAGCTCTGATCTGTTTCAAGAGGAGACACTTCACTAAACAATAACACTGACCTTTAATATAAACTGCTCCACTTCCCTATATAACCACCAAAATAAAACACCAATGAGCACAGTGTGAACCGCAACATTAGACAACATTTGTTATTACACCCCTACAACCATCCTGACATATTTAACAGTATTACAAGTCATGCACGAGAGTAACATGCACGTGCTTCAGGTCATCTACGAACTTTGGGATCCAGCCATCATCCTCCATCACTACACAGCACAAACACTGAGTGACAAGGAACGACTTCTGTCTTCATCTTGTCAGGTTTGCCTGGCGGCACCTTCCTCTTTTCCTTTCCTCACACTAGTCAGCTCCCTTGCACTGATTGCACTATTAGACACACCTGCTTCGCTTCACTGATTCTCACCAGCTGCGCCTTGTTAGTTTCCCTTATTTATACACTGCTCACCGTTCGCTCCCCTGCCAGTTCTTTCTTTGTCTTCAGGCCCTGTATGTGTTTCCATTCTGTTTTATCACGCCAAGTTTGCCCGTATTGTTATTTTTATGTGTTACTCTAGTTTCTGTCCTGCCCCACCATCTCTGCTTTCCTCCTCTCCTCTGGACTTTTGGATTTACTCAGCTCTTCCAGCCACCGCCTCGCAGGTCGATGCACAGTCTCCTCTAAGCTGTTGTTTCCATGCTCCTATGTCCTCAGCCATCATCACCTCCACCTCAACCAGCCCAGGAGTGATTCCTACGTCCGCAGCGCGGCTCATCATCACCCCTCCACTCAGTGACTGTGCTTCTGCTCCCACTGAGCGACACCCGGTCATCTCCCACAACAACCCTCCTCTCTCTCTCTTTCTCTCTCTCTCTCTCTCTATATATATATCATTGTACAGCACTTGGTAATAAACCTCACTGTTGGTCCGTTCTTTTCTCGCTCACTCATTTTGTGTGCGAGCAACCCTAACACATCTGCTGCCATTTCTATCTACTTTAATATACTATGCGTAGCATTTTTATTTACTTGTGATCTATTAGCTGTGACCAATTTGTTACAAACATTCAGAACCTACTGATTTTATGCAACACTATATTTGTGTATATTCAGACATTCATACAAAAAAGTTCAAAGGTTTTCAATTGATCCGACAAGTTGTTTGGACATTGGACAGAAATTAACAGGACCCAAGCAATTTAACACACCCCACAAATATATAGTGTTCTTCCTAAAACCGCTCGTCACTGTAGCTTCATCCAAGAGGAGTCCACTGGGGACTGGGTTCAGGAGGGGACTGATGGTTTCCTGTTTATTATTTGCAGCCACACAGAACCAGGAAATTGAATCATGGAGAGGGAACAGAAAAATCTGATGAACACAAAAGTGGCCTGCTGTCAAACTACTCGGACTGACACATGCAGAGTCCTGAGCCACCACCTGGGACAGGTGACAGCAAGGTGAGATCAGTACCAATATTAGAAACACTGAATCTATAAACTATGGTAAACCCCCTGACAGTAAACGGTGTTCTGTGTCCAGATGTTGAGTGTAGCCTATCAAGTGTGTTCAGGGCCGCCATCATGGACAATGTGTCACCTGGCAACCGTACAAGTGAGACACACCTGAAGGACTACAACTACCTGGCCTTGGTCCTCGGTGTCCCCCTAATCCTGATCATCATCCTGGGAAATGTTTTGGTGTGTCTGAGCGTGCTCACTGAGCGCTCCCTGAAAACCGCTACCAACTACTTCATCATCAGCCTGGCGGTGGCTGACCTACTGCTGGCCGTGCTGGTGCTACCGCTATACGTTTACTCAGAGGTTAGTGAGGACACGGTGTTTATGATGACCAGTACAAGTTTATAAATGTGTGCTAAATCTACACTGAGGGCAATGTGTGTGAAGACTGAAACAGTCGTTTTAGAAAGGACAGGACCTTTAGACAATCTGAGCCTTCTGGTTGTTGTGCTCCAAGGGAAGTGAGGATGGGGTGTTTATGAAGACCAGGACATATTAACGTCTTCATGGTGAGATGCATGGACTGTGAGGACAATTGATTTCACATGTATGTTTGCCTTGTGTGTAGTTTCTAGGAGGTATCTGGATGCTTAGCACCTACATCTGTGATGCGCTAATGACGATGGATGTGATGCTGTGCACTGCCTCCATCCTCAACCTGTGTGCCATCAGTGTAGACAGGTGAGTCAACCTGTGCTACAGGTATGTCTTTTTGGAGATGTAATGACTTCACTTTGAGTCACTGCAGGTGAATAAATCTCAGATTAATTATTATTCAAACTGTGAGAGTATCAAGGCTCACTCATCAGCGGGGTGAACTCTATCATACAACAAATAACTGGCAGCACACTAAGATTTTCAAAGTACACAACTTCAATTTGACCTGAATGCATCAGACTCAATATTACTTTACAGAGAATCACAATTATTTGTCTCCTTCTTACATAAAAAGCTATTATAGAGGATTTAATTAATCATATTCAGCTAAATCATTAAATGTGTTTATAACCCTCTTTCAGCAGCATGAATCATCTGAGGTCTATTAAATCTCTGGACACTGAGCTCTTCAGGAGGCATAAACAAGGTGTCTGTATTTAAAAATCACAACAGAAATGTGATAATACTAACACCTTGTTAGTGAGATAGCAGGTGATTATATCTGGATTTTTGTAGACAGCAGCTGCTAATGGAGTCAACCGACAGCTTCCAGAGTGTTGAGGATATGTAATGAAACCACAGTGAGTTACACATAAGTGATGCCACAGATTTATTTTTACCTCAGGTGCCAGAATGTGTAATTAAAGCCTTCACACTGTGCAGATGCTGATGCACATCACCATAAATATGTTGATGAGCTGATTTTTGAGAGTATCACAAAATCAGAGCTGATAATATGGGGCGGCTGTGGCTCAGGAGGTAATCCTCCTAACCGGAGGATTAGCAGTTCAATTCCCAGCTTGTCCAGTCAACATGTCGACGTGTCATTGAGCAAGACACTGAACCCCCAGTTGCTCCCGGTGATAACACCGGTGTGTGAATGTTTGGGAGTGCGAATGGGTGAATGGCCAAATAGTGTAAATGCGCTTTGAGTGAGCTGTAAAGCATAGAAAGGCACTGTACAAGTATAAGACCATTTACCATCCACGCAGGACATGTAACGTCCAGAGTGAGTGGCTCCTACTAAATACCCAGTCTCTGTCTGACTGGTTGCTGTAAAGAGGTCTTTTCTCTGGAAACAGCTCTAGAGAGAAAACAGACCACAAAATCAAAGCTAGAAGCTAAACAAGGCCAAAAACTTTTAAAATCTGTAATCTGTAAACACCGCTTTGGTCTCCAAAGCACGCAGTCATCGGCTGGCTGATGAACTTCAGAGCGAGATACAGGGCCACCATTTGGACTGAGGACCAGTCACTGGACCACTTTTCTCTCATCATGGAGAGGCTCTTTTAGGACACTGGCCGATTCTTGTGACTGAACCTCAACTGACAAGCTTAGTTTTCACTATGAGATTCATCTTGGAAAACAAACTGACAGTTGGTGAACGCAGAGCATTTCCATAATGACATGACCTCTTCAATGTCTGTTGAAAGTTGGGTATAAAATGAAGCGTCATTTATTTAAAAAACTGCTCTATTTGTCTTGTTGGAGAGTTTGGGACAAATTTGATTTTTCTAGGATAACAGTGTTTTTCCTAGTTTGAAAAGACCTGTGATGGGCAGGGAGAGATGTCCTCACCCAAACAGGTGTATGAAGAGTCCAAGTAGTCTACAGTACCCCCCACCCAACAGCAGCCTCCCTTGATCTTTAAACAGTGTGTTGTGCTTATTTTCTTCCAGGTACATAGCAGTGGTGGTGCCTCTGAAGTACAACAGGAACCAGTTCAGTGTGCGTCAGCTGGCTCTCATCACTGCTACCTGGGTTCTGTCTCTGGGCGTGGCCAGTCCGGTTATCTTCGGTCTGAACCAGGTGCCAGGTCGTGATCCAAGCGTGTGCAAACTGGAGGATGACCGGTTTGTGGTGTACTCGTCGGTCTGCTCCTTCTTTGTGCCATGTCCTGTCATGCTCTTCTTGTATTACTGGATGTTTAGAGGCCTGCGGCAGTGGAGCAGTCGCAGTCGATCTCAGGTGGCTCAAGTCGGTCGGCATTCTCTCTCGCTACGTCTCAGCTCAGCTCTACAGCAAGCTAAAGCCACAACAACTGGGAGTCGACAGAAGGTGATATACGCCACTCCGGCCAGTGTCAGCCCCGCCTCCCCCTCCACTGTCTCCATGGCAACAGCCTCAGCAACCCCTGTGACAGACGAGCAGCAGGACGGGGCGGGGGCAGAGAGCGACCCGATGACAACACAGATGGACAGTGTGTCGGACCAAGAGGCCATAGGGAGGACAGAGGGGGCCAGCAGAGAGAACGGCCTGATGAAGAACAGCACCACTGCAAAGAGAGCACGACGACAATTTAAGAGCAGCAGGGTCAGCGGGAGGGAGCGCAAAGCCATGAGGGTCCTGCCCGTTGTTGTCGGTGAGTACCAGAACCTACCTGAACCAGGCCAGTACCGTATTTGAGACTAAAACAGATTAGAGCCAGGAACTCAAAATCATGAAGGTCCTGCCCTTCATCAGTGAGCACAACAGTTGGAATAGGAACCTGAACCCTGTCAGAACCATGACTAGAGGTAGTGTTGTCCTTAGCAGGACCTGAACCACATGGTCAGTGCCTTAAAATGGACATCCACAGATTTATCATCAGCCTCTTGTAACAGTGATGGACTCACTGTACTTTTTTTTGAAGGATTCAAACTGAGGTACAGATTGTCAGTCATCCAAGTCATAGTATGCTGAAAAACATTTTAAAAAATCTTCCGACTCTCACCTATGGTCATGAACTTTGGGTCATGAC